AAAATGATAAGTAGAACTGCAGCTCTACAGGCGGTCACAGATAATGTACAGTGGGAAATGAAGAGGGCACAAATTCTAAACACAACAGCAACATGAGGTGGGGTTGAAAAAACAGTTAGAGAATTTGGTGAAGGGAGAAGAACATGGCTATGAAAGTCACTGTCTGGTTAGCACTCACTAGCAGAAGAAGAAGTTCAAGGAAAAACAAGGCACAGAAAACATACCAGCGAAAGGTTTTCAGGGCAGTGGAAAACACAAGAATCAAAACTGTGGCAGACTGTAGAGGGGAAACAGGTAAGAAGAAGTCGAAGCTCTGGTTTTCTGTCATATATCCAAGAAAGTTATGGATAGCCAAGAAACTCAGGGTAAAGAGAATGAGGTATAAAATGCAAATAGAGAGGGAGATCAGATGGCTGTTTGCCTCATTTTGATAAATGTTAAGTCTGATCATGTCAGTTAAGATGCAACAGGTTAAGAGCCCAAGATACTGTGCTTGTCACTTACCATCCTGTGCCAGAAGAAATATGGGTTTATCAGTGCAGCCTTTTCAACTGAGCAGTTCTAGGGAAGCTTAGCACACTGGAGATATATAAAACAACTGAAAACCGTTCTGTTCCTTCCAATAAATGTGTGAAACTCTTTTAATTTGCTCTCGATGGCAGGCTGTCTCGTGGACGAATCAATGAGGCTTTCAGACTGGACGATAACACACTGCAGTTTGACAGCATACCTCCAACCCTGGCCACACCTTATGAACCACCAGTCACCATCTGGTTAATTGTATTTGGGGTGGTCATTAGCCTGGTTGTCATTGGAGCTATTGCCTTGATCGTCACCGGGCAGAGAGATCGAAGAAAGTGAGTAATATTTTTGATACTATGATCATGACTATTGGGAGACATCCTGATGTTTGAATCATCAGATTGCTTACAAATGGGCTGCCAAACCTAACTAAATCAAGTTAAGGAATTAAAGCTTATTATCAACATCAACAGTGATGGCTAAAAGTTCAGCTCCCTGCCTTTCAGTTCAGGGCAGCTTTGGCGGTTTAATGCAATTTCCCCATCATCAGCAGTTTAACCAAGGCAGCTGGACACGGTGGCCGCAACGAGCTTCTGCCAAGCCTGCTGTGAGGTGGCTGGAGTGGCCTGCAGGGAACACAGTGCCTTCTCCAGCGGCAGGGTTTGCCCACATTCCTCATCTCCTGCAGTTGTCAATAATCTTGTTGGACATTGTCCAATTATGTCATTTTCCTTAAATATTACTGCATTAACAGCAAAATAACTGGGTTGGTTTTCTATGTCTCTCCATTAATGGGGTTTCTAAGAACCTAGTAGGTTTGCTACAGTTCCCCTTAAAACCAACACAATTCCTTTTGGTAGAAATATTCCCAGTTAAGCACAATATTATTTGCAATATATTCTTTTGGTGATCCAGAAGATTTGGAACAGAACAGAGGCTTCTAGTATAAAATTAATTTTAATTACAGGAGAGCAAGAGCAAGTGGGACTGGCGCAGAATCAAACTGTGAGCAGGTGAACCCTTATGCTGAAGAGGGAAGAAGCAACATGGGGTTTGAGCCATCTGAAGACACACAAACGTCATTCTAGAAGACACTAAGGGTTTCTGTTTTTTTTTCATTTAACTTTTCACAACAGTGCCTAGCAAGAACCAAAACACTATCAAACATACTGTATTCTGGTTGACTGTTAATCTACCAGTTCATAGACAACAGCAACTAAATCTGCTGGTTTTGTGGTAACTAGAAAACATGCAAAAATTGAAGATATATATATCCTGTGGCTTTTATATGAATTATGTGCATAATATTACACACTATTTGTGCTGCTTTTCCTAAGTGTGCTGCATCCAACTTCTCTTTGTTTCCTCCATAATGAGATATAAAAGCTTGGAAGTATAGAGTTGTATACAGACCAAGACAGATATAAGAATAACACATACTCCTAACGCCCAGGAGGAACATCTTGATCTTTCCAGAGGGAGACCTCAGAAATGTATCAATAGAAAGTGAGAAAAAACCTGACCACCAGAATAACCTTAGTGATGAAGAACTCAAAATGATATGAAATAACTGCAATTTTTGCACCTTCAAGAAATGTCTATCAATGTAAAGCAGATACTGAAAGAAGACTAACAAGCACTGGAACTTTGTTAGGAAGCTGTAACGTAAGTTATTTTTCTAACTGTTTGCTTGATAAGTATTGTTGAGACCAAATAGTCCATGCCCCCTCAAAAAAAAAAAATAAAATTAAAAATCTGTGTTTTATTGTCATCTAAAAATGGAATAAACTTCAACTTCCTTAATACTAAATGAACAAAGTTGTTGGTTTGGGGTTATTTTTGTTTGTTTGGGTTTTGGTTTTTTTTGTTTTGCTACCTCAGCCATTGCCTCCACTATTACAAATACTGCATTCCAAATACAAATTGCATCATTACATACAGGGAGCAGTAGATTGAGGCTTGGGAGGTTCAGGTTGCACCTGCAAAAGAAAAGCTGGGAGGGTAGTGCAGCACTGGCACAGGTGGCCTATTCCATGTTGGGGGTGAGGCTGTGGGATCTCCACCTTTAGAATTGTTCAGGGCTCAGGTAGACGAAGGTATGCCTGACCGAATAGTGAGGATAGTCCACTCTAGGTGAGTTCAGCTAGATGACCTCCAGAGATCCCTTCCAGCAAGTGTTCCTATGGTTCTGTGACTTGTACATCCCGTGCCATAGCTGCCACTGTGCCAGTGCAGTTGTTTGTACACAACAGGGTGACTGACAGGCACGAGGTGTCTACTCAGTCCTGTGTTCTGACCAAGAGCCAGTGGTAAACGTGACCCTGCATGAAAACACGTTCAGCAGAAGCACAGACTCGCAAACTCATGGGCCCCTAAAATTATCAGAAACTGTAAAAAGCAGTCAAACGTGTATCTGAAAACATACAGCTGGAGCCTCTGGGATCAGAAAACACTTATTTAGTTTTCCAGCTCATTACCTATTTAAGAAACAAGACCCTTATGTGAGATAGTTCAAAAAGGTAGGCAGATGATACCGATTAACTGCAAATTGGAGCATAAAGGAGTGAAATAATTTTTCTTTAAGTTGCTTACCAAAACCACATATCCCATTGTCATAATATCGCCAAACCGTAGTACTTTTGCTGAACCTTTAAGATAAATAATTCAACTCTATATGATCTTCCCACGTACGGTGCAGTAATGGAAAAAGGGAACAGCGAAGCCGGAAACAATCAAATAATATAATTAGTCATGCCAGCCATCTTTAGATCTATTGTTAAGAATAAAATTTCCATTAAGGCAAAGCTTTCATTTCAAAGCAATTCATCTTAAAAGCTGTGCTATGAATCAAAAAACACCATTCAGAATTGTCAACACATAAAACCCCTAAAAAAAATATAGCAGGATGTTGGAAGAACAGAAATAAAAAGACAGTGTTTATATTAAAAAAAACTCAGCTGCACGCATTAGCCCCAACAATACATCACACCCTCTATGCTGAGATGCCCACCCCCCTCTCATATTTTATTTCTGACAGCTTTCCTCCCCGACCCTTTCCCTGGGTCAGCACTCCTTGCCCCAGCTTGATGCACAAGCAACATCACAGCACGCCCTACCTCTCCCTCCCGTGCAGCCTCTTGTGGCCCCCCAGGCCTGTGTAGATCCCCACAGTCATTTGCATGACCCCAAATTCTGCTTCCCCTCAAGCAGGCACACAGCTCTCCAGGTAGACAGGATGCACTCTGCCACCCAGCTTCCAGTGATTGGACCAGGAAACGCCAGCAAGCATCGGTGCCAGAACCTCTGGCTGGCCAAAGACCTTAATTTCTTTCTTCCCTCTCCCCACACGTCCACACCCCACATTTCATGCTCCTTACATTCAGGTAAGTTCTAACTGGAGCTGCAGAGGGGTCCCTGCTGGGGCTGGGCCAGCTCCACCAGGGAAAGGGGAAGCAGACATCACTTGGACTCTCAGAGGCATCACCCACTGAACTACCTCAAATATAAGGAGAGAGGAGAGGATTTTTTTTTCAGACCTTACTTTATTTCAAAACCCCGTTATTTGATACATATCAGATCAGCATTTTACAAATGTCAGTGTCTAAGTTGAGACTCCTCTGTTATAGTTATGTAGCTCCAGACGTATTTGGTATCTCTAGACTTACTGAAGTTAGCATTAATTTGTGTAGTGCTATGCACATTTGAAAGTTGGGTGCTCTTATTTGAGAACTCAGTGATAACATCAGGAGGCAAATTTCAGCTCCTCAGCAATAAAAAGTTTGGCTAAGCAATTATATTAATAGCATTTTCAGTTCTCTTAAAATCTTTGCTCTTCACGTTTTATAGAGATCAGCACATTTACCATTTACAATTGCAATGACTATGGAATTCTGCAAAAAACTTTATTTTCTCCATTTTTACCTGTAGTAGGAAGCAATAACACTCAAGTAAATACCTCATATGTTGCTAAGTTGCAGATCTCTTAGATATGTAAATTAGAATAAATTCCACATCAAGCATACAGCCTGAGGGCTCAAACTAAAGTCAATAGTATTGGTAAGCAAACTGATATAATATTTTACCAGCAGTAATTTCTAAATAATTGAAAGTGAGCCTATAACTATTTGTGTTGCTGTCACTTGCAGTAATTCTAAATTTGACTTCAGGTGTCAGCTTCAAGTGATTACAGAGAAAAAATAAATTCAGATGAGTTATGATAATCAGAAAACCGAACAGGCATATATTTTCCTGTCTACATTTCCAGTTAGGGCCAAATAATGACAGCTTGGAAACACTGAAGGAGTGTACACAATTGGTATATCTATCTCAATGTCTGAGAAGTCCTTTGAGACAATGGTAACAAAATGAATTATATTATTCCACAGCATCTTTCCAAATTCTGTCAGCCGCTGAGTGTCATGAAAGCTTTCTCCATAAACATCTTGGTTAACTCCCTGATTAAATGAGAAGAACGCTAATATACAGAATAATAGGGGTGGCTAATGTCAGACAAATTTCAGATTTAGCTCTCGTACAGAAGACAGGTGATATGGAACCAGTATGCATGGTCATCTCTTTAGGAATCTTCTTTTTCAAGCTCTGTTGTCTTCTCTCAGTGCCTCAAAAAATGACAAGAGCTGATAAAAGGCAGGGCGCTTTTCAGGTAGCTAAATGAAGCAAAGATGATGGGTATGGTTATTTAATTTTGAAATAATTCAAGAACTGTAATTTGCATTAATTTTTCTTGGTTTTAGCATGCAGAAATTCATAGAGGCAGTGATACTTATGAGGTAAAGGAAATTAAAGTTACTTTTTATGTCTTTCTTGTGTTGTGATAGTTTAATCTTTTTCCTTTGCATTAACATGTCCTCAAAGATAAGTTATTTCTCTCATTTTTTCTGACAATTATACCTAAAAAAAACCCCACATCACTGTCATTCCATGGTATCACCGGTAATGTGCCAAACAGTTCTTTGTTGCTGGTGAGAAACAAATCATGGTCCACAGACAGCTGACTAAAATTTAGATGGCGAAGAACAATAAATCAGGGTAATTCTTGGCACAGCAGACACAGATGTCCCAGAATAAAATGAGCATGATCAGCATTTAACTTACAACTCCTAGGAGACACAGCTGGGGTAACACATCCTTTCCATTCTAAAGGTGGGGTTATTTCAAGCAACATTAGATAACTAAAAAGGTAGAGGTCTCATCTAAATTAGTTGTTTAAGATCTCTGTGTATGAAAGTAGGTATCTTCTATTCTGTGGTGGATAGAAAGCACAAATGACCATGGAGAGGTACCAGTAATGGACCTGTAGTTATGGAAAGAATTTAGACAATTCAGCAACCAAATTTTAAGCCATTAAAATTAGGTGAGAAGAATCTCACTCCATATTATGTTGATGTTGAAGGGTATTTTACTGTTATTTGCTTAAATACATGGTTCTGAGAAGAAAGGAGGCAATCTTCCTTTATTGCCTGTACTAACAATACGTCCTGAACTAGACTGCTATATAGAATGTACCACACATAAACAATGGCTTTTATAAGGGACATTTTCCACTATGAACATTAGTTGAGCTATCAACAGTGACTTCTAGTGACTCCTACCATTTTGTTTTCTCCACATTGCATGTGCAGATATACATACCTCGTGCCAGCAGTTGTACATCATCTGGTAGATGATGTCTGAAACTAGTTGTGGTCTATAAAGTCTGTATCCTTGTGACACTTTCTCAATCACCTGCATGTTATCATAAAGCTCATAGGGCTGCTTTCCCAAAGTGAACACCTCCCACATTAAGATACCTGCAAAAATATTCATGGCAATGGAAGACAAGAAATGAAAATCAAGAAATGCAAGATAACCCCTTTTTCCTGGAACAAAAGACACATGCAACATGTAAACCAATCAGACTCCTTACAGAGAATGTTGTCCAGAGAAAAGTGTGGAGATGACTGACAAGTGTGATTCTGTACCCAAATGTAAAACAACTTCTACTCTAGTAGATGGTGAAGTTAGATTCAACATCAGTTATAAAGTGGATTTAATGTGGACAATAAGGGAAAAAACCTAAAACACAGCAATCCACGGACTGTAGTCTTTACAAAATACATACAAACATCCCCTTATATATGCACGTGTGTGTAAACAGAGGGAAACAAAGGGAAGGAAAACCAAAATGACAGCTATAGGTATCTATGTTTTTATAGAGTAAATCATAAGAAAATTTTTACTGATTTTGTAGAGTGAGTGGGACATATATCCCTTTGGTATCAGAAAGATTTCTGAATACTTTGTAGCGTTGGCTACACATGCCCATAAGAACTAGATTATACTGAAGCAATAGAGACACTGGAAAATCTTATACTAATTAATTCATAATGATAGCTTTGCAAGAAACAGTTTTTGTGTAACTGAACATATATGATAATCGTGCCAACTGTAAAGTAAAAAAAAAAAATTGTGAAAAATTTATTTCACAATGATATGTAATGCTGGTGGTAAAGATTTTTATTTTTTTTTTTAAATATTGAACCTTTGACTTCCCTCCAGCTTGAAGGCCGGAGCATTGCCTTGTCACATTGGGATCAGAATAAAATGGTACCTAAATCCCAGCTTTCCCTAATGAGAACATTAAAAAACCAAGATTATTTGTTCTTTGACGACTGCTTTTGGAATATGAATGCATCAATTCTGTTCTTTAGCCCTTTAAAGATTCATTTGTTTAAAAAAACCTAGCAAGAACTGGTGGATCCCTCTCCCCTTCCTTCCACTGCATCAATGGATAGTGGTAAAATGAGAAAAGACCTTCTAAGGAAAAATAATGTTTCTCACTGAAGTTGATGCCAATATTGGAGTTAATGCCAATACTGAAGTTAATGACAATAAAGCCCGGAGCTAGGATTTCATTGATAAGACAAAAAGAAAAGGTACCACCATAAAATCCGGCTTCTGATTTAATTGTCTATTTTAAAAACAATGTGTAAAGGGCATGAGTGAGCTGTTTCTCTGCCAGAGTCTCTAGTTCTGAGACTAGCTGAAGTTAAAGATACGAAGCAGTCCAGCATTTGGAAACACTTTCATCTGCTTTATTCATCATTGTTCAATGTCAAGAACAGTGGGTTGCCAATCTTTCATCAACCTGACAGCTGCCAAAATTTTCCTATTGGAGGAGCAAACCCATGTAAGTGGAATTTAAGCCTGTTCAAAAAAGGCTCTCTTCCTTTGACATCTTTTGCAGACTTTTAGAAACACTGAGCAGACTCCAGGGATTTGAAAATCAGAGCTTGAAAACCACTGAAGTAGAAGTTCAGATGTTTGAAATTCCTGGGTAGAAAGTGATCTGCAAACGCATCTTATTTTTGGTGAGATATAGAGCCCCAGCTCACACAAACTCTCTTCCGCAGCTGGCTTATGCACAGAGTGCACTCTGACCTCTGCAACTAACAACAAAGCCTTTTTGACTTGGGCAGAACTGATTTATGGTCTAGATATGCCGCAGATATCATTTGATCTCCACTGCCAACAGTTTAGTTTACCATATTAAACACATATATAGCAAATAGGGAGTGGGCAGAGTTTCTAAGGGCCTAAAAGAAAAACAGTAAGGCTGAAAAACCCCAAAGAGGGTAGGGCTTGGATGCATAAAAATATTTAACAAGAACATGAGCTGTAACTGCTTTTTACATTCCTCCAGTGTGTAAATGTCTAGCATTTCTGCTTACTAAGATGTGGAAATCCAAATGTAATGGCATATATGCATTTTGATGTCAAATTCCATACATACCAAAGGCCCACACATCTGACTTGCTGCTATATTTGGTGTAATGAAAAACTTCTGGTGCTGACCACTTCACTGGAAACTTGCTCCCTAGTGAACTTACATATAGGTCATCCAGAACATACCTGCAAGGCAAGAACCAAACTTGTTAGTGACCAAGTTACAGTGAAATACTATTTATTGCTTCTTTCTTGTGCATCTCAAGGTTGCAAAGAAAAGCCTGGGCAGAATCCCAAATTTCCAAAGGATACCTGATAGACGTATTAGCTATAACCTGTAGAACAGATGATTGCCATCAACTTATTAGAGAAATGAGAAAAAATGAGAAAAAAACTTATTATGAGAAAAAACTGCTTCACGGTGAGGGTGACAGAGCCCTGGAACAGGCTGCCCGGGGAGGTCATAGAGTCCCTTTCTTTGGAGATTTTCAAGACCCGCCTGGATGCAGTCCTGAGTAACATGCTCTAACATGCTCTAGGCAACCCTGCTTCAGCAGGGAAGTTGGACTAGATGATCTCTAAGGTCCCTTCCAACTCTAAAAAAGTCAGTGAAAATAATGCAAAATTATAGAAATGCATGTTGTAAGGCCATCCAGCCCAGCCTCCTGCTCAAACAGGATTATTCCCAACATCAGATCAGGTCAGCCATGGCTCTGTGTAGCCAAGTCTTTAGAGCCTCCAAAGACTGCAATCTTGTAGCCTCCAGGCCTGGCATGTTTCACTGTTCCACCACGCTCCTGGGGAGACAACTTTTCTTACTGTCCAGTTTGAACTTCCTGAGCTACTGTATGTGGCCGATGTCCACTGTTGTATCACCTGACACTGATAAGACTATCTGGCTCCATCAGCTTTGTAACTGTAAGTAGCTATATGCAGCTTTCAGATCCCCTCTTAGCCTCCTCTTCACCAAACTAAGTAGCCTGCTCCCTCAGCCTCTTCTCAGAGGACGTGATCTCTAGGCTGCTCGTCCTCTGCAACTTCTCTCCATTGAGACTGCTGATTAAGATGTTTGGCACCCAAATTAGGCATAAATCCTGCACACAAAGTAAACTCTGAGAATTCTTTAACAAACACGTCTAGTGAAATCTCTCAGCTGCCACTTGCCTTTAAGCAAGTGCTTTTTTGAGAGAGCAGAATGACTTTATTCTACCCCCATAACGGCTTATGGTCATTAGTGGAAAGGAGACACAAAGAGCCGTATCATGTGGCTGTGGCTTAACTTTCCTAACAGCCATTGCCAGCTGATCAATGCCAGTAAACTATGTAACACTAACATCGTAGCTTCACAGGGCTCCCACTCCTTTACTTACCTAGTCATCCCAAAGTCAGATACTTTCACAGTAAGATTGCTGTCAACCAAACAGTTCCTAGCAGCCTTCAGTAAAGAAATGAGAGAAGAGGTGAGCACAAAAAAATACAAAGGGAAGCAAATAGTATCATGTCTTGGTAATTTGATAATAATAATTTATGTCCTCTAGCATTTCAATGAATAATGACATTCTTTGATTGAAGCAATTATGTTTGGAAATATAAGGGAACATTAAATAGCTCTCATTTCACTTTCTGATTATTGATCGAAAAATATTCTTTACCATTTTCCCATCTTTACAAATAAGGGCAATGAGGAAACAAAGGTGAGAAACTCACATTCACCTAGAAAAAGAGCAACAGAGCCCGAAACTAAACCCTGTCTTTCGAATTGCGTCCTACTCTAGGGTCCTTTTCAGTAATCTCAGAATTTACCAAGATATCAAAAACTGAAAAACATTGATCAGATTATTTGCAATGCACTGTAAACAGAGCGGAGAAATGAAAGGTGATTTATACAGCCTGATTTGTGGAAAGTTCAATATAAGCCTAGTTCTGCAGGTGATCACTTGACAACATTTATCTAAGGCTGCATTCTCTTCCTGCATGCTTATTACTTTCCATGATACAGTTTGTGCCTACAGTCTTCAACCTGAAATCAAATTCAAGTTTATTTATGTTTTCCCATGGTGTACATCCAGGTTTTGGGAAAGTGACTTTATATTTACAACTTGAATTGTGCTGCCTAAGCTGTCTGATATTCGTGATTTCTGAATCTGGGTGTGAAAATTGATGAGATAACAACTTTGTTTACACATAAAGACAATTCTTTGAAAGCATCAAGAAGACATTTAAAATGCTATCTTAGAAGACTGCACCTCTGTTGGAAAATGAAGCAAAACAGTGCAATAAAATGTTACAAATCTTCCGGCACATTTTTGTCTAGAGTTAGGAAGCAAAACACTGCTGCTGACTGTGAAGTGTAATACACCAGAAATTTGGAGAGGTTCACTTTTAATAGGATAATAAAATAACAGCTTATTTCCCCAAAGACTTATGCTGGCATTCTTGAAAGCTAAGTTTTGCATAAACTTTGGATCTAAGTTCTTGGAAGAACTGATCCCCTTATCAAAATCAACTTGAAATACTTGCTTGAAAACTGGCAGATAAATGTATATAAAAGAGCTAGGCAGCTGCAGACTTTCAAGTTCTGCTCCTGCTTGCAATCCACCAGAGTAAATTCCAGTTTATGGTGGTAATGTTCACACTTGTTTTGTAAAAGAAATAGTTTCCCAATTAGACAATCCCTAGCTCATTAAAAACAATATCTAAGTTACCCAAATCTTTCATGCTTTACCTCTTTCTCCTGGAGGATTGCAGCATCATCTGACAGAACCCTTTACTTCAGTGGATTAATTTTACAGTTGAAGGTCTGTGCTGCCAAGTGGGGCATCAATCCTTGATGCTAGAGCCCGTGGATGTGGGGCTGTAGGCCTGTCAGCTCAGCTCTGAAGCAGAGCATACTAGCTCTTTACATTAATGCTCTGCTCATCCAGAGCTGCCTTGCATGGAGCCATCCGCTTTTTGGGGTGAGTGCCAACAGAGCCAGTGCAGCTGTGGCTGAGCCCTGGGGGGTAGGACTGCCTGGTGTTAGGCCATCCCCCTACCTTCCACCTCTCCCGTGGGGTAGCTTACCAAATCTCGATGTATGAACTGAGAGCTCTCCAGAAATGCCATAGCATCACAAACATCATAACATATTTCCAGGAGCCTAAGGGGCTGTAGTTCCTTCCCACGACTCCGTAGGTAGCTAAGCAAACAGCCATTAGGCATGTATTCCGTCACTAGATAGATGGGATACGATTCTGAGCATAGACCATACAGTCTAACAAGTTTGGGATGATTAAGTTTCCTGAAATAAAAAAAAAAGATAAAATAACCAAAGAATAAATAGAGATTATTGTGCATTTCTGAAGGTTTTGTTCTTCAAATATTAATACAAGGTACTGAGAAATACAAGAGTCGGAACACAGTCCCATCTCAGACTTTAAATATTCCTTTTCAAGAAGAACTGAGTGTCCTTCTGCCCATTACTACGCAACTCAGTATTGATGACAATAAAAAGAAGACTCAGTATTGATGAAATGACAACTTTATAGTCAAAACTTGAAAGAGGATTTACCAGCACAGAAGTGCAATCTTATTGATGGGAGAAAATAGATCTGAATTGGTGGGTTAAATCTTAGGTCTTAAGGTTTCCTGCTAAAACCATGTTGCAAAATTTTCAGATTGAGAATCCTGATCATATCAGCTAGTTAACTGACAGGAATGTAGTGCATTCCCTCAGGATACGAGATATCCAAAATATTCTTGAATTCTTATGCTTCAGTTAACATCTCATGGAATTTTACTGGAAATATCTATTTGGAGTCAGAAAATAAAATTTTAAGTCTTGTTCATATCTCTGGCATTTCTCAGTTATTAAATTGTCTCTCATTCCTGCCTGCAGGATGGCAGGAACAGCTTTCTGTTTCTGTATAAATGCTAATGAAACACAGTTTTAGTTGACATAGATGGAACCTCTGAAGCTGTGGAAGAGATGTTAATTGAAAACTTTGTAGATGATCCTATCACCCTTTGTGAAGTTCCTTTGGTAATACTTCAAATATTCTATGTGGCTACCTATTTAGCTTGTGCCTAATGTACTCAACGCTACTTAATCCTATTTTTAAGAGGAAACTCTCTTTCCTGTGTGTGCTATACATTACTGATTAATGTTTGGAGAGATCATTATTTCCAAATAATTAAGCGATGCCATAGCTTACATCATGATCTGAGCTTCTTCTATGAATTCATCTTCTGACATTGCTTCCTTTTTAATCGTCTTTACGGCCACATCATATTGTCCCTTCCACTTTCCCAGATACACCACTCCAAACTGACCACTCCCTAGCTCTCTCAGCAGGACAATTTCCTCTCGTTTCAGCTCCCAGATTCCTAGTGGGACAAAATAAATTCATTTAGCAAAAAAAAAAAAAAAGAAATGCAGGCGTAGTATCCCCTACGTGCAATAATGTTTTCTTTGGAGGGTTGCAGGGCCATGCAGCACTGAAGCAACACACCTATCTCTTGGCTTTGTGTTTGAGTTATGGAAGGAAACTACACTTTCTACAAGTGTTGTTTGCTAATGCTTAATTTTAAGCATTATAAATAGTTTTAAGAAAGATTTATGCATCAAATGATGATATATTTTCATGTAGGAGATTGAAGAACAGGTATTATTGTGCCAGATATGCGGCAAAGGGAAAGAATGGCCGTGACTCAGATGTACTGGGGAAGGAAGCATGCAAGTTGATAAAACTTGACATAAAATGCCTTAAAAAGGGTACAACATAAAACTTGGTATAAAATGCCTTTGCATTCACCTTGCCCTGGATGTGCACTAGAAGCACTAGATACCCTATTTGACAGAACCCTGAAATCTCAATGCTATAGTGGACAAGAGGAAACTACAGAAGGAGCTATTTACTGACAGACCATTCTTCCCAAATTCTTACATTCCTGCGTGGACAAATGGAAGTGACCACCAAATAATAAGCTCAAAGATCCTGTGTAACCTCCTGCAAGCCTGAAAGCAGTAAGAGTCATGATTTTCTGGTTATTCTTTTCTTGGTGGCTAAAATTGACATCAGTTTCAAAAAGGAAAGTTATCTTCATACCATTTCCTAATGAAGCTGTGGTTGGGACTTTATTTATTTGCGTAGACACTATATGCCGGAGTCTTGTCACCATACCTACAAAGAAAACCTGTTAAAGGTCACAATATAGACACAAGTCTTCTGAAATCAAAGGAAGTACAGGTGAATTAATACCTCCCCTCTCCCTGTCATATTACAAGCATCCAGATAATGACAGATACTCAATATTCAGCTGCTGCTGTATCATGACACAAAATTCAAAATTTTCTCTGCTTAACAGCTAGTCCAGCAAAGGTATCACAAGAAGAGGTAGTACAATACCAAAAAGCACTGTACAGCAAAGGAAAGCCACTATATTGATTGTGGATGTGTTCAATCAAGTTCCACCCAAATTCTCCCAAAAGATGTTTCAGTATGTAAAGCATTCAGTATCGGAAGAGATTCACCATAACTTTGAAAAGTCCTGAAACCTAAGCCAAAGCCAATCAAGTAGAAAGAACATATAGAATTACCGGCTGAGTTGTGCTGATGGTAGTGTATAAGCTTGGGAATTGATTCAAAACAGCAGTTTTCAGCGATGTAATACTTGTTCTCAGTGTTTTTGTGCACGTGGTAATGTTTGACTGTTCCTTTTTTACTTCTGAAAAACATCACAAAGTGCTGTACAATTCAAAGCCTTGCAAAAGGCCTTCCAGCCCATGCGCTGATAGATTAGTCAGGGGCTGAATTAACTGCAACACACCAGCTTGCCAAATTGCAAAATATGTAGTCGATGCCACCAGGAAGACTATTACATTTGCCTCAGTCCTGTTGTGTTCTGTCCATCCGTGTCGTTCCCCCCGGCCCTTACACTTGCTGTCTGCGTAGTACAGGCTCCTAGTACATTGGAGACTTCTGCTGCATACTCTAACGTAGTCTGATGGTTAGTACTTGTCTCCCAATAGTCACATTTAGAAAAAAGACTTTAATGTACTGCCCTTGCAATGTTTCTACATCTAATTTTGAATGCCTTCTATTCCCATGCCCATTCCCTTCCTTCTCTTTCAGTCTTGAGACTCTGCTACTCCCTGTGCTGGTTTCAGCTAGGATAGAGTTAGTTTTCTTTCTAGTGGTTGCTGTGTTTCAGATTTGGTGGGAAAGGAATGTCAATAATGCATATTGTTCTAGTTGTTGCTAGGTGATGACTGTACTATTCGAGGACTTGTTCTTCAGCTTGCCATAGAAACTGAGAAGGAGCATAGACAGAACAATGGAATGTCCAGTAGACTATTCCATACTATAGACAGCATGCTCAGTATAATTTGGGGTTGCCTAGGGGCTGGGAATCCACAATCACTGTTTGGACAGGGCTGGGCAACCAATTCACTGGGTGGTGAGAGTGACTTGTGTGTATTACTCTATCTTGTATATTCTTTCTACCATTACTATTATTATTGTTATTTTCCCGTTTCTGTTACTGTTCTATTAAACTCTTTATCTCAACTGATGAGGTTTTTTCCTTTCCCCATTCAGGGACCCAGGGACAAGTATGAGTCCAGGTAACTAATATGACCTGAATATGCCCGAGGTTCGCCTTTAAGACAATGTAGAGAATTTTTTGTTGACCAGTCACACCAAGCAGCGTGCCCATAGCAGGCTCGTAGAAATGATACGTATTCTTTGGATACTCACTCAGAAACCTTGCTGAATACAGACACAGTATACATTCCTGCTTGGCTAGATTTCCGAACCATAAAAGCACCCTCTTTCCCCTAATTTAAAAAAAAAATAAATAGTTAGAAGGAACAATGATGTTGGGATTCATTTCAGTGAACATTAGACTTTACATTGTGATGTCCACAAAAGAGAGAAGGAGACATGACTTATCTGACCTTCTTTAAGAACTACATTAGGACAAGATGAATTATGACATGATTATGTATATTGTAAAGCCACTACAGACAATTCCTCCAGGCTGACCTGCAGAAAGAGCCACACTGGAGCAAACAACCCAGGCCTGGAGGTAAAATCGAAAAGCAGAGCTTTGAGGGGAAATGTGTGGCTTTGTTCCAAGCCTATTTTTAGATTTGTTCATTTATGTATAAAAGCTATAAGTGCATCCAGACATTTTTGGAGATCAGTTTATGGATACCGAGTTAGCACAAGAGTTTCTAGCTCTCTCTAATACAACAGCTATTGAAAGAGCATCAGCATCCTCTAGCTACACAGTACAGCAAAGACAGCAGACACAGAAACATTTCCATGGTTGTTCATATACAAGTGATAAAGGATATGTAGGACCTTCTGACGGAGCAGCTGCTCACACTGGGCACGGGAGATATTACCAGCATACCAACTGCAAAGAGAAATATTGGGCTTATTATGGACAGTCTGATTTCTGAATAAGACACACACATGAAAAATGCCAGACATTGTAAATATTTTCAAAACTGCTTTTAAAAACCAGAGGGTAGGATTGGGACTTGTCCTGCATGTGTGATTTTAGGCCCTAAGGTAAAAGGGAAAACATTAGTTCCATCTGCTTCCTCTTGTCCAGTGGGTCTCTTCATCCTGAAATATCTGGGCCCACTCCATGACTCTGACTTTTTACAGTATGTTCTTAGAGGAAGATCCTGCTGCCCTAAAGCTCTGCCAGGAGCTCTACCAGAAGTAGTTTGCTATGTCTCCTGCAGACCATGACACAGCCGTCTCTCTAAAAGCTGGGAGATCCATAATTTGCCTTGAACCTTGAACCTTCTGGTCATCATAATGTTGAAGTAAACTGAGAGATCCCAAATGGGGGAAACAAGCCAAACAGGCTATTTCACATCAGTTCAGGGAGCTCCAATGAATTTTTTTTTTAATAGCAGTTCACTTTTATGAAGCATCCCTTTATTACTGTACAAGACTGATCTGTCTAAATGACTTTTTTGTCTGAAAGCAAATACATTCATGCATTTGGAAGTCTGTGAGCAGTGATGTTGCTGATGACAATACCTATAATTATTATCATTATTATAACAGTCATACGTAGGATACCATTGCTGTAGGTATAGTGGATGTGTGAAGTGGAAAGACAATCTCTGCCCAAGGAATCTTTTGTTTCTCATGAAGACATTCTATATACTCACTCATAATTAGCAATACTCTGCTCTTCTGCCAATGCCTGTTCACTGACACTGGAGTTTTCCCTGAAAAGATAAAAAAACATGACGAAAGTGTGAAAAACTGGTTATGAAGAATACCTTTCGTTGGTTAAAAGTCATACTACATGAATTTTTTGAGTAGTTATGCCATGGTCTAAGGTGAATATTTGAAAAAGTTGAGAAATATTTAATTATCTGGATTTTTTTATGATTTGGTAAACACTTATACAGCCTTTCCCCTCCACTGTGCAGTGTGTTAGAAAGCCAAATATTCTCTGTGCGTGCTGTAACAGACAATGAAACTATACATCCCTTTAGTGACTTTATGAAGAGATTCATCCACCTTTTTCAAAATTTACATGGAAGATTTCCGAACCAGTGCAACCCTAGACTTCCCAAATAGTTGTTCTTACCATGACAGACAACAGAAAGAGTTCATGTGGGAGAAAAAGAGGCTGCTAAAATAACCCCTTGTGCAGAAATAATAATGATTCTTATTTATGCTGCCTTTTACAGGATACTGTAAGAGTAGGTTTTTAAGAAAACCTCTGATGGTTTGCATGAGACAGGTTGTTATGTTTCTGTGATATTTTAATTCAAATACTTATGCATATATTTAATGCTTACAATTTCATGTCATCTCATTAAAAAGGAAAAGGTGGGTCCAATGTATCACTTTGACAGACTTGGACTTCCTTTTCCCTGTACTGGACTGCCCACATACACACAAAAGCACAAGAGTACTAGGAAGGCTGATTTAATGCTGAAGTAAGAGCACAAAGTTTGAAATTCGAGCATTATTGAAGTCAGTGGCAAAACCTTATTGATTTAAATGAAACCAGGATTTTCAACTGATGTTTTTTGCATTAATGTATGAGTCAAGAAGACAAATTGTATCTGATTCTATACCTTTCAGGAAACTTTATGCTTGGTACTCAGAAGGTTATTTAAAAAGAAAAATATTCCAGAAATATTGCCTAATCTTTACTAGAGTGGTAACGAAAATGTTTAAGCAGTGTATAGCTGCATATTGATTCACCTTGGCTCATCATCGCTCAGAGATAACTTTCTCAAGTAAGTGCTCGGTACAAAACCTTCATTCCTGCAAAATAAACAGTTCACAGTTTAGCTACTGTACATGACTGCATCTTCAATCTGGTCACTTAGAATAGGAGAAGGGATTAATCAGAGAGTCACTTTTTAGAAAGCCACTAACGGAAATGCTCATGGTTAAAACATTTCTGCTTTTACTTACCATGTGGGAAAATACAGAAGTAATTTGTTTTACAAAAGTACATTTCAATGAAGCACTCTTTTTGCTAGTCATTGAAATGGCTTCTTCCTCCATGATTGGCTTCATCATATGGAATATTGGAGCAGCTGCTCAACAATACCATTACCTGCCATCTCAGCTGCTGTGATGAAGGAGGCCAGTGACTAATGTGCTCCAGTGGAACATCCAAGATTGAATGTAGAAAGTCAATAGGTAGGCTCAGCGCTCTTCCAAACAGAATGCCAGATGCAATTGAGAGGTTAAGCCAAGTGAATATGCACAGCTGAGCGACTGGCAGCATGGCACATTGGACCTAAGTTGTGGGGGCCAATGGGCACCTGTAGTTGTAATGGGGTGGGCTGTACGCCATCAGGAAAATAAATTGGGGCAACAAATTGTATATTTGAATATGGATGGACACAGACAGGAAGGGTTTCTTTAAAAGATCTCAGTAGAGCAAGAGGAAAACTGAGAGTGCATGAAAACAGGTGAAACAGGTAACTGCTGATATTTGTTCCTACTACATTCAAGAAAGTGAGATTTTTTCTTTTTAAGCAGAATTTAAAGGTTTTGCTATTATGTATATATGGCTTGTCCCTACAGAATCACTAATGCAAAAGTCTCAGTTTCTCAAGGCGAAGGGAAAACTGTAAAAGTCCCCCCTTTATCTTGATCTCTTTCTGCTCCATTCATCTTAGAGCTCTCTACTCAGGCTCTAAACAGAGCTGCCTGTGTCATATGATTTTACATAGCTATAAACAGTCCAGCGAAGGCATTTAAGAGCATATCTCAGCTTACTAATTTATTATTGTCTTTGAGTTGCAGGGATTGTGTGCTGCTTTCTTCATCCAGAACAATATGAGAATCCAGTGAGTTATAAAGTGCTTTACCTTAAGTTAAGGTTGCTTTATTCATTGGTTTCCCTGCAGTTGTAAACTTAATCAGTGAATTATGAGAGGATCAAGTGATTTCATTCTGTTCCAAACCTGTTTTGGCATCTCCTGGCTCAAAAATTCTTCCCTTCTTCAGTTCTATCAAGTACATAAAATCAAACTCAGCTAGTATCCATCATGAGACAGACAAGGAATCTTGTCTCTTCCAGGCAGCTCCTGTTTGTTGCACTGCCTTTGTCTCTAGTGTACTCCTAAAGCTGTTTCTTATTTAATAACTTGGGAAGAGACTCTCTCTTCTGCCCCAGCTGGATATTAATCAAAAATATCTTATTTTAAGTTGCTGAAGGGGATTCCTCCACTTGTGAACCTCAAAGAAAATAATTAAACTCTTCTGTACTGTACAGGATGGGGGTGTTCTGTCTCTGTGGAAGAACATTGCTAAAGCTGGGAAGACACTGAAGTAAGAAGTGATTCATGCTTCAGCAATTCTCACCAGTTTCTCTGCTGTCACTGCTATTGCAGTAGTAATGGTGATTGTCTACAAATGGTTTAGTGCAAACAAGAGAGGCACCATGTGTGAGGAGAAATTTCATCTCTTTATTCACTTAAACTAAATAGTTGGAAGAAATGGACAGCTTCTGTATACACAAGCCTTTCTTCAAGCACAAATCAAAATTAAGGCCGTTGGGTGCTATCTTATTACACTAGGCAGTGACTGTTGTAAATCTTACCCAAACTGGCAGCTAAAGATGATAATGAAAATGGAGTTGTACAGAAGAAACCTTTCTAGAGCAGGGTTTAAAATCTACTAAGGTAATCATAACACGGACCCTGAAAGATACCAGGACTGCCTGCAGTGTTGTCTATGAAGATGGGATACGTGAAAGACCATGGTCATGGAACAAAAGTATTCTGCAGTTTATACTTACCCCTCCAAATCCCTTACTTTCCACCAGTCAGAATCTTTCTCTTGCAATACATAGTATTTATTGCTTCTGACGAGCTGGAAAGCTGAGGCTCCATTGGGTTCATAGTTGCATTGGGCCACAGCCATTTTCAGGACTGACCTGTCTGGTGATAGCCCATGAGGCAGGCTTCTGCGCTTCTGCTTTTGAAGACAGAGGGAATAAAATGATAAGGAGATGCAGCACAGGGTACAGTAAGAAATAACATATGACATGTACACGATCACTTATATCTTCAACAAGTTTAGTGATATCAGGCAAATTAATCAAAGCTAAGAAAACGGGCACAGACAAGCAGCTTTTCCTCATCCATTGAGAAGCACAACCCAGATACTGTTGTCCGCATTTGTAAGACAGGTGAGAAAAGAACCAAGATCTGTCATAATGACACCAGGAACAATTAACTCTAAGTAGGGGCTGACATTGCTGTAATAGGGAGCTCTCATTACCGAAACTATGTGATAGACTATGTGATAGCATGCCACTTATCTGAAGATGATACTTCCTAATGAACTGTTGCAATTCATGTGCTTTGGACACCACAAGACCAAAGTTTGCTTTACTATAACTAAGTGCCATGATGTCCTGTTGTATCAAAAGACCCATCACAGTATTATAAAATAACTTTCTTTGTTTGTATGGTGTTTGATCAATAGTAATGTTACCATGAAGCACAACAAGCATTAGTCAATTGTTACTACTAATGACTGAAATCAAAAGGCTATGTTAATTCTAAAATATTCCCTTTTCTTACCATGTTTTATTGGCATTTGTCTGCTAAACATGTTGGATATAAGTAGTTCCACTCCTTGGTGCCTAACTTTCCCTGTGCAGAGTAAAATCAGTGTGGATATTTAACTATGGGGTTCATCTTACCTAGCTTTGACCCATGTCTTCACGTGAAATATGTCATCCTACGGAAGTGTCTACCTCTCATCACTGATTGTTGAGGATGTCTACACAAATGACTTAGATGAGAAGCCTGACATTAAAGTGAGGTGACATCAATCAAATAATGGGCAAAAGCATCTAAATTTAAGGCACTGAAATGCATTTAGAAATCAGGAAAATGTCATAACTGAGAAAATCCAGACATCACAATTCTTTAAGAGCAGAGAAAATTACACTTGAAACACCGAGAGCAAAGCATGAGGGAAAATAAGAAAGAGTTAGGAGAAAAGGCTTCAAATGCCACCTATTTATTATTAAAAACCAGTGTAATGCAATGCCGGGGAAGAATGCCAAGTGTCCTGAAGCAGGCTGTGATTCCTTTAAATCAAGTCCAAGTGACCATGGCATTGTGTGTTTGCTTGTTTTCTTCTTATTGGCATTTCTGTACTTAATTTAAACAGGGAGAAACCAAAAAGCCATGAGAATACTTGATTCGGTCTACTGAGTCAGAAGACATACATGATCTCTTCCTGCAAACACACAAAGTCTCAATCTGATCTCATCAAGCTCCGGTGGAGACACCCATTATTTAAAGAGGTAGCACTCACAGCAGACTCCTCAATTGACTAGAATTAGGTCTGTTACTCATCAAGTACTACTACTTGAACCCACTATGGGTGGTTCCTGTTGATCATCTTTTTGTGTGAACAAAAGAAAGTGCAAAGCATTGGCCAAAGTAAATGGCAGAAAGAATTATGATCACAGAAATGAATTTTGCTTTGTCCAATCCGCCAGGGAAAAGAACCAGCCAAAGATGAGGACATCAGATTTGCATCCCTTTGGGTTTCACTGCTGGATGTGTATTTGTCTGTTGCAACATTCTGGATGGACTTCATCTGTAACCTGCTACAGATTAATGTCTTGACTTGTGTCCATACATACAGCTTTCCATTTCCAACACTGGCTGAAAGCCCCAAAGCATTTTGTAATAGTCGCTGAGTGGATCTTATAATTTCCTTTATGCTGGCAGTGGTATTATTGTGGTTTTAATACTGATGGCTGCACCACTGTCATTTAGGGAGCTGTGGGTGACAGTCTGAGATTCAGCTGTGATGTGCAAATGGAGAATGGCTACTATCCATGGAACTGCACCCCTACCATACAGCTGGAAGCATGTGCTGGATCACTTCAGCTTCCCTAAACCTTGTCCAATAGGTAAGCATGAGATGATATGAGGGTGCACTCAATGCACTTTTGTGATCTGCAGTATTGGTCTGCCCTACACGAACTGTTTGTCATTGCAGACAGTGGCTGCCAGGCCCCAGCAGAGGTCCTGCTTTCTGAGGCAGGAAGCTCCTGTTTCCTGCTGTTATCAAAGCACAGGGGAAGTGCCTCCTGGTTCCCATGAAGGGACCTTTGTGCCCATTATCCTTTGTAATGGCATCAGTCTTTAGACACCAGTTCCTCTGTGGGAGACTAGAGGTATAATGCTGAACTGATGCCAGGGACAGAGGCATCAAAGATGCAGGATGTAAGCATGCAAAAGTAATGCCTCATGCAAAATTTAAAGCCTCTGGTCAGTTTTGCCTACAAGCAAAGTAATGCCTCTGGTCAGTTCGGAAGAAAGCAAAGGCACAAGGCTTGCAGAGGCTGGAGAGGTGAGGAACATGAACTGAGACAGATGAAAGGAAGGCTGGGGGTACAGTGATACCTCTGATGACCAAACTGGGTAGATGAAAGGTCAAAATAAAAATGTGCTGAGAGCTTATAGAAGTAGCTCCATGGCCAAATACAGACTGTTCCTCACCATGAGAAGTCAGTATTAGCCTTCTTAACCTGATTATATCATATGGCTTGGAAAAATGAAGTCAAGTTGTTCTAACCATATGTGGTAGTTATTATATCTACATTTACTGAATTTGTTTTAGAAATACTCATCTGAAAATTGCATGTCCTTGCTTTTTAAATTTCCCTTTCAAAATATCTTCTCTGAACTCAAGCAGATAATAAAAATAAATCATAAAGGCCTAACAGAAGCCAGAATGTTCAGCAGCAGATTTGCATGACTGATGGTCTCTCCAGATAGACAAAGCATCTCCTGATGGAAGCCAGGCAAAACAGACCACGGTATTCAAAACAAGTTATGCTGCTGCGTGTTTACAATGCTATTACTTTCTGATCTCATTATGAGAAAAAGATGTCAAAAGGTTCTTTGTTCATAGCTTATTTCCAAGGCTTTATTATTATTTTTTTAAAGCTCCATTTTACAGCTCTTGTGGTTTTATCTTCTGTCTCTTGATAATCTACGTGTTTCTTAAAACTGTAGCTGTTCATGTCAACTGTATACACAAAAATTCCAACTTTTTTCTTTTTTGTTAAGTTACTTCCTGATTAACAGAGAGAAGCTAGGAAATAGACCTAGACTGTATTCTAAAGATACAGAACAGAAGACAAATTAAAATAAAGCAGGAAATACAGATTTAAAAATCCCATTATTTGAAACCCAGTCTGGTTTCATTTGGAGGAGGCTGGGGTAACGATCTGTGAATACACAGACAGTCTTTTTTTTAAACATATCAAAACATCATAACTTAAACCACTTTGTTCTCTTCCATTCTCTTGTCATTTATCTCCTTTCCACCTGCAAACCTCGATAATTAAGCTAGGCAGTAAACCTAAGGTCAAAGATACCAGTATTGCCCTTGTATTTGTACAGAAAGAGATGGATGAGGAAATAAGCATAGAAGCACAGCTTCCAGTCTTACTTTTATTTATAATCCTGCCAACTGCTGCCCTTCTTCATCAAGGAACTGCTGTACCAGAGGACTCAGGCCAAATCGAGCACAAGCAGTGCCTTTTGGCATCCTGGTTTTTCTCTTTGGGTCTGTGAAAGCCTAGCTTTCTCAGATGGACAGTAAGGCTCAGTGGGTGCTGGTGGGACATCCCACTCTTTGGTTTCTGTCTGGTATAAAGTCAATATACAGGCAAGAGTACATAAAGAGCTCAGATGCACTTCCTGATTCATTAACTTAGAGGCTGCCTCTGCAGAGCAGGGCAAAAGAGACCTTCCTGACCCAAGCCTCTGGGGGCACAACTTGGGATTTGCCAGAGATATTTGCAGTTCATCCCCCATTTTTCACCACGTGAAGCAGGTATATTTGTTTACATCTTCAGTTATAATGTTTTCTCCAAGTACTATGAGCACCATTTTCACTGGGGAGGGTGGTGGAGGGGAGTTTTTGGCATGTCTAGGAATGGGGACCTCCTAGGTCTAGGAGCTAACTAGGACTAGGGAGCTAACTCTGATGGCATTCCCCGATCCCACGGGAAATAAGTGTATAAAGTAAAAGACACCACTACAAGGGCTGTAACCAGTACTGCCACCAGCACGTTAAAGTGAACTGAATGTGGCTGAGACTTTCCCAGTTTGTCATTTAGAGCACATGCAAGAGGGAGATGAATCCTTCCTTCTGACATGCTGGTGGGCACAAGGAGGCTGAAGCTGCACTGCTGGTAAGAGGTCTAAATCAGCTTCCAGTAAGTGGTGGTTTGCAGTGCTCCATTCCATCCCACAGCCCTCCCAGGTCTTCCCCTATAGCTGGATACTCAAATGTTTTCACCTACCAGCGTTTGAGGGACGAGAGGCAGTGGTTTCACAAACCCAGTTGTGCAACACAGAGTCACATCTAGAGGAGAGGGAAAATCAAAGGAAAAAAACCTTTAATTTAAGAAAGACTTCACCTCTGGAGGCTTTGTCGCTTGCAGGTCTATGCAGTGTCAGCAGCAGCATCATGCCAGCTGACATTTTACCTCCCTGACGCATCGACTTGCTTTAGCTCTGTATTTTCTAACTTCCTCTTAATTCAAGCACCACCTCAATATCTTAAAAAACCCCATCAACCGTTGTTTTCACCTATGCCAAAATACAAATTCAGGGAAATCTGTGGTTGTATTTAGCTCTATGGTTCTCTCAATTCTGGTAACTTATTCGATTACATACAGAGAGAAGCATATATATACTTTATTTTTATTCTTTTTTTTTTCTTTTTAATTGAAATTGTTACATTGACACTTCTAATCTGTGAAGTAGTAATTAAGAAATACTGCTTTCAATTACCCAGTGGTTACAAGAGTGAGGCTGTCTGGAGTCATCCCCACACAGAGAGTCTCCCTGTGCTCCACACATCTCTGTTAGCAACCTCAGGAACTTATTTAGGCGCAAGTTTAGAGTAGATACAGCACATATTATTACTTCAGACATAAACAAAACATTCAGTATACAAAACCTTCTTTTTAATTTGCCTCTTAGTTAAGCCATCCATGACTGGTAACGAGGTATTTCCTTGTCCTTGCCACTGACTAGTGGTTTCATGGCCTTATTTGCTTTTGTAACAAGGGGTTTTGAAGCTATGTGAAACTATTCAAATTACAGGTACAAATCGGCTGACAAGTCTCTACATTATTTAGTGTTCCATAATGATGAAACCTGTAGTAATAATTAGATAAGCCAATATAATTAATTTCAAATTCAATCATTCAATCATGACTGAAATCAGTGCATCTAACAGCGATCTATGATTCCAAATAATGAAACTTTAAAAAGCTAAAGGCCAAATACTCATGAACTTCTTTTCCCTCTCCCAAACATGGAGTTTCACTGTTAAGCATATACATAGACATGCAGGAATTCCCTTCTGAAAATGTGAAGCCTAGAAGGGTACCACTTGACAAATTTTCCTCTCTGTCTTTCCAGATAAAAGCTAAACCCCTAAATAATAGCAACTAAGTTCTACCAAAAATACTTTAGAGAAGTATCTTAAAATAGAGAAAAAAAAATGCTGCAAGTTAAATCACACTGTTTAGAAAAAAAAATCATATGAATATAATTATACATTAGCATAAGAGTTTTACTTCTATTTAGCTATGAAACTGTGTTGTGTTACATTCATTCAAACCCACTCTTGTGATGATTTTCTATTGTTACTACCCATTCAGCTTATGGGACCTCATCACCAGAAGGGTCTTGCAGCATAATGATACAATCTAGCTAGAGATCTTAAGAATAAGGAGAAAAATAATTCCATCTCGTTTATTTTGTAGGTAAAAATGTCACTAACTTTTTTGATCAAACACTAATATGTAGATATAAGACATAATTTAGTGTATTATTTCCCCCAGTTATACTATAAGATACAATGTATAGCAGCTATGATGTTAAATGGAGCTCAGCCAATACATGAAAAGGTGTAAGTAGATTAGCTTTTATACTGGTTACATTGCCTTAAATATCTATGTGATTTGGCGATATTGTGAAAAACATCTGTAAGACTAATTAAACAAATAAAAGGACACATTACGTTTCTCCCAAATGGTACATCCAGGGGCTGCCTTACAGGTCTGGTTGCAACAGAGAAACTTCCCATTGATGAAGAATTCTTTATGATACTTGTTTAGTAAATCAGAATTGTCTTTAATTTCTGGAAAGCACAGAGAAACCAAAGAGAACATAACAGGCTGCAAAATGCAAATATTCCTTATGATCAATAGAGTCTGCTGCACCAGACCCCAGAGTGCTTACTGATATCTCACTCTAGACACATACCCTGGCCACATTTTTATCTCTATACCATATTCCTCTATGCTTCATTGAAAACAATATAAATGTTCTTGAAAAAAAGAGGAATATAAAAAGGAAAAAGCACTAGCAGTATTGATTCTCAAAAAAGGTATTCATGCAGGTAAGCACTATACTAGCCACATCAGGAATGTTTGTGCTCTATTAACCTGCATCAGTAAAGGCTGAACATATGATGAAGATTAAAAAATACCCATGAATAATAATAATAAAAAGCTTTCTTTTGGCTTATTTCTCACTGAAGCTTTCAGCCTTTATAATTTCTAGTCCATTCTTGAAAATACCAGGAGCATGTCAACCAGCTGGTGCTGAAAAACGAATGAGACTAAAAACAGGTGACAAAGTCTTGCACAAAATGATGAGGCAGGAACCTTTTCCTACCTCTCCTCATGTTATTTGAATATTTTGGTACACAAAGGAATAGTGTTACCTCTATGCAAAGCTGCAAGCCACCGCTCCCTGCTCTCTTCATTAGCTGCATAGACATAGAGAAGGCCACCCCTGTACACAATCTGGAAAAGGTGGGGAAAGCCAGCATGGTGAAAAGGTACTGCCTGAAAGTATGTCGCTATGCAGGAGGGGAAAGGAGAAGGGGATGGAAACCAAAAAAAACACAAACTAGGCTTTGTGGACCCACATCAAACTCCCACAACTTAGTACTGTTTCCCAGATGCCACTTGTATTATTGCCATTTCATATAAATACTTCATATTTCATTTCATGTAAATATAAATATAATCATAGAATCATAGAATGCCAGGTTAGAAGGGACCTCAAGAAACATCTGGTCCAACCTTTCTTGGCAAAAGCACCATCTAGACAAGATGGCCTAGCATCCTGTCCAGCTGAATCTTAAAAGTGCCCAATGTTGGGGAATCCACCACTTCCCTGGGGACATTGTTCCAATGGCTGATTGTTCTCATTGTGAAAAGGGGAACATCCAAAGGGGAGAAAAGTAAAAGGGAGCATCTGTCATTTGTTTCAGTGCCAGTCTGGCCCAAACCACGACAGTGTCCAATTGGAATCTCTCCAGGAGTAACTTGTACCCATTACCCTTTGTCTTTTCCATGTGACTCCTTGTAAAAAGGGAGTCTTCTTTGTAGCCACCCTTTAAATGCTGGAACATGGTGATAAGGTCTCCCCCAAGTCTTCTTTTCTCAAGGCTGAACTAACGCAGTTCTCTCAGCCTTTCCTCATATGGCAGGCTTCCCAGTCCTTTGATCATCTTGGTGGCCCTTCTCCAGCCTGTCCACATCTTTTTGTATAGCAAGGACCAAAACTGAACACAGCACTCCAGGTGTGGCCTGACAAGAGCTGAGCAGAGTAAGGTACCACTGCCTTCTGGGTGCTGCCTGTCAGCCAGCTCCCCATCCACCACATGGACCACTTGCCTAGACCATAACACATCAGTTTCTCTAGAAGGAGGCTGTGGGGAACTGTGTTGAAAACCTTGCAGAAATCCAGGAAGACAAAGAAGTCCGCTGCTCGCCCCACATCAATCAAGCAGGTTACTTTGTTATAGAAGGCAACCAGGTCTGTAAAACAGGAATTTGACCTCGGTGAATCCTTGCTGTTTTTACAAAATCACGTGCCTCATTTGACTAGTGATAGACCTCCAGGAGGATTCATTCTATAACTTTCCCAGGGACTGAAGTGAGACTGATGGGCCTGTAATTTCTTGGATCTTCCTTTAAACCTCTCTGGTAGATGGGGGTGACATTAGCCTTCTTCCAGTCTTCTGGGACATCCCATGACTTCTCGAAGGTTATCAAGAGTGGTCTCATAATGATGTCAGTCAGCTCTCTTAGCACCCTCGGGTGGATAATGTCAGGGCTCATAGATTTGTAGCAGTCAAACTCCTGCAACTCTTCCTTCACAGATGGTGGGTCTGTGTTTTCATCAACCTGAATTTTTGTTCTCAAGGCCTGGGGCCCAACAGTGGTGGTAAAGACAGAGGGGAAGAAAGTGTTGAGAACCTCTGCCTTTTCAGCATTGTTGATGACTAATTCACCTCGCCTGTTTAACAGCAGGCCAATGTTTTCCTTCTGTTTCTTCTTGTTTACATACCTGAAGAACTGTTTTTTGTAGTTTTTGATGTCTCTGGGCAGTTTCAATTTGAGCTGAGCTTTTGCTTTTCTAACTGCATCTCTGCATGCCCTGGCAATGCCCTTGTGGTTCTCAATGGGTATTGGTCTGCTTTTTTGACTCTAGTATGCTTCTCTTTTGGTTTTGAGCAGACTCATACAAATATGTACTGCCTTACCAAAAGTCCTAAGGTACAGTTGCAGAAACAAGGGACAGCATAGAATATTTCTAGATACACCCATCTTCTATGTATAAAAGATCTTATAGCCCACATGCTATAGAAAGTGGAAATTCTTTCTTTCCACTTCAGTTTTTCCAGCTCGTCTTCCAGCTTCTGACTATTGTTACACAAGGTCAGACCAAATGCTCACCCAGACCAGGAACCTGTCTCTTACAGCGTCCAGTAACAGTACTGAGGCAGAGTGTTTTCTCAGGGCATCTGCACAGTGATCAAGGAATCCTGATCCAAAGGCGATGATGTGTCTATGCTAAATACCCTTTGAGATGTATTTTTCTTCTGTGAATTAGTTCAGTTGCCTTTTTAAGCAAATAACTAGTGTCCACAACATCTTGCAGTAAGTAGTCCTACAGCTTAGCTACACAATTAGAAGAGTCAGCTGCTTTTGCTTGTTTTTAGCCTATCTTGTGCTAGCTTCGTTTGATGCCTACCTAATAATTACTAACATCTGCTTTGCTTTTTGGATGATGTTTAGTACTAAGCTGACTCTGTGTGTGTGTGTGTGTGTGTTAACCCAGAGCTTCATTTCCCTGTGTCTGTTTCCTTCCTTCCTTCTTTCTTTCTTTCTTTCTTTAATTTCCCTGTGTACATTTCTTTCTTTCATCTGCATTGAATTTTAAATGGCGTTTTATTGCTTTCGTTTGTTAGACTGAAGAGCCTTCATTATTAAATGTGTACTCCCACTGGTAAGTATACAGGACCGATCATTTTGCTTCCTGTCTATTTAGTTAAATGGTGGAGTCCTGTGAGCTTTTCTCTTTAATACGTTATCCATCCAATCTATTAGTCATTGTCAAGTCTCTCCTTTGACCTCTCTTCAGTTTACAACATCTTTGTTCAATTATAGTCCCCAGAACTAGACACAATATTCTCCTGGTGATCACAGTAGTGTCAAAACATATTGAGTGCTTTACTCAATATGTGCCTGCTTCCATGTCCATTTACCTCCCTTGGCCACAACATCACATTGGGAATTTATGTTCAGCTATCATCATCCTAAAGTCCTCTTTAGAGATCCTGTTTCCCAGACCAGAGTTCTCCACCCTGTAACTATAGCATACTCTCTTTTCCCCTCTTAAATTAATTATGCATTCTTAACATAAATACAGTAATTTAACATAAATGTATCATTCCGTGCCACAAAACTGGGGGAGGGAGAGGGAAAGAAAGACTGGAATGACACCTAGGATCAACCGGGCAGTGAAATATTAAGTATCTCTCATGAGGTTGTCCTTGGGCATGGTAATTATTGGAGGGTCATGAATTAATGCACTATTCAGCAGATCTGTTATTCACCCTAGCAGCCTGCTGCTTGTGGTTGCACTGTCTGGCAAGAGGCACTCCAGAAGGGGATCTGTGGCTGCTTTTCACATCTGCATGTCCCACTGCCCATAGAATTGAGATTGGTAGAGGCTCTAGGTGGAACCTGAGCTGGGCAACTGAAAGAGATGAAAGGCAGCAAACTTGAAGTTATGTTTTTCTCATCATATTTAATTATCAAACATGTGCACTGCTTAGTGCAGCTGCATCTTCTGATAAATGCACAAAGCCTTGGATTTCCTGACTGTGGCACATTTGAATGGTAATCAATCAGGCAGTCAGGGGTCAAATCTTGTACTTGATATTGAGGGAAAAAAAAAAAGAAAAAAGGAAGCGGAAAGAGACAGTGAGAACTAAAATAAGAATTTTTAAATGCTTAATTCTGCCTTAATATAAGTGATAATCACATAGGGTTGCGATCTATAGATTCCAGATCTTATTTAAGCAAGTATCTGATAGACCTTTCAACATAAAAGAAGCAAGACTTGACCTAATCAGGTAGGTTTAGACTGAACATTAGGAAAGAATTTTTCACAGAAAGAGTGGTCAGGCATTGGAATAGGCTGCCCAGGGAGGTGGTTGAGTCACTATCCCTGGATGTGTTTAAGAGCCGTTTAGATGTGGTGTTGGGGGACATGGTGTAGGGGAGAACTTTGTAGAGGACGGTAGATGGTTGGACTCGATGATCCCAAGGGTCTCTTCCAACCTAGACGATTCTATGATTCTATGATTCTAAATTCTATCACAGTCAATGAAAAAAAAAATTCAGCAAAGTCACAACTTCAATAATAGGGACTGATTTTCTCTTTGTTGTAAATAACTGTAGCACTCAGCAATATCACATATCACCACTCAGGATAGGAGTGACCAGTGTACCTTACGATGACTGGAAAATTTCACCTGAAATGTAACTGAAACAGATTTCATAGCTAACCTGAAAAGGATATTGTCTCGCAGGAGGTGTTGATTCCTCAAGATTCACTGTCTCAACACAACGGATTTTCTCAATCTCAATTGACCCCTTTTTGCTTCCCCTTTTCTAAGAAAGAAAAAATACAATAGGCTGTAAACTAATTTTAACAAAATATGAAATATCTTAGTTTGACTATTTTGTGCAATTTCATGTTTCGAGTTGGATAAGACATAGCTGCAGGTTTGTTAAACTTTACAGGAAAGATAGTAAAAAAACATCCTTGGTGCCTACCTGCACCTAATATATTAATCAAGTTCCTTTTTAAGTCAGTTACAAGAATTACAGGACACAGGCTTATATCTGAGAAAACATTGTGCTACAACTGCAGGAGTACAAGGCAGAAGGGGAGACTAAGAGGAAAAGAAGAAGGAGGAATTAAGAGAAAAACACTTTCAGTGCAAACCAGAAGCCTGGCTGCAGCATTCATAATTTCGTTAAGGTAATGGAGCTTGCTCTCACTGAGCCCTGTGATCTCCTAATGGGACGTAACTCACAGGAGGAGTCCAAATGTATTAAAAGAAACAAAAACTTTAAAATAAGTTGGCTGGGACATGTATTTGCATTCCCAACGGGAGACGTGCTGAATGAAAAGCCACCCTTTTGTGATACACAGTCACTCCTTAGGAAACGGATAGTTTAACCATCTGCTTTGTGCAGCTGAGGGATGAGATTATGAACTAATTATGCCTCATACAAGTAACTTCTGAAACCAGTTATTTGCATCAGTTCAGAGGGAAGTCTGAACAAGGAAAACATTACTATTCAAGACAATGTGTAAACATATGCCAATGTTAATTACTTGCTTAAGTTCTCTTTGGAAGGACATAAACAGATGCTCAATGTAAGAGTTGTGCTGAAGAGAGACACTTTTAAGGCTGTGGCTAAGTGTTTTCCTGAACTGAAACTAGGATTTGATACCCTATAATTCCACTCAAAACAAAGTACACCTGCAGTTCTAACACATAGTGTCTACTCAAGTTTCCCAAAAGAAAACCAGAGGAATAAGGTGACATTGGAAAATCTTACAAGAGTTTGCTTAAAATTATTTCTTACCCCTTTGTCATATTCATAGTAAGAAAGGGTTTCTTTTGTCAGAACAAACAACCTTTTCTTGTAATTAATTGGTGATATTTTTTTCTTCTGTTGTGACTTCTTTAAAAGAAGTTCTTCTAGAATTGTTTTCTTCTCCATTATATTTCCCTAAAAGAACATTATAGTTACTTTTATTACTACTATTAATAAACATAGCAATACCAACTATAGAAATTGCAGTAATGAATATACTGAGTCACTGTCCTTTGTATGTTTTATTCAATCTTATAGTAATATATGATTATAAAGCATGAGTTAATACTTAATGCTTAAAAAATGAGGTTGATTAGCTTATTCACTCAGTAAACACAATCATAATATATAAAAATTAAGCTACAGATATATTGCAGTTCCAAACAAGGCATCTCTGTTACTTTATCGTCTGAGTATCTCTCTTTTTAAAGCCATGCACGCTTTCTGGCAAAGAGCACAGTCTGCTTTATGCACAAATGTATTACATCTGCAGCATAACACTGAAGTCATTACAGCAGCAAAGAGAACGATAACAAAACAGAAAACCCTTCTATTTACAGACCAGAAAAACATACCTAGTGCTGACAAGCGTGTTCCCTGAACTGGAAATTTCCCATTTCCTTCTTTCAACTGAAACAAATGAATGTTTATAGGAAAATGACACATAGAAAAGATCAAAAAATAAAAATGTTTTTGCACCACATATATATACATATATACTTATGTTTATGTATTTTTTCTTAGCCTTGATGATCATACATTAGAAAATGCTAAGAAGGGCCCACCATATTTCTGCAAGTTTAGTATGGTTTCAGGTTATCTTACCCAAGAGTGAGGAAAGCACGTCACGTCCCTTGCCCTGTACGTTCTGGAGCTCCAAAGGGAAGTGTTGTGTTAAGCTACTCACTTTGTTATGTCCCTACTCATTAGAGAAAGCCCAGCAGAGAATATTTGCATAACGCTCATCATTCCTGTTTGTTCTATCCACTGAATCCTACCTGAAACCAGAAAGCAACAATATCTAGTAGGAACAGTCTAAAGAGGAAAAAGGGGGCTTTACTACGCATTACTCCACCACAGATATCTGGCTACCCTTCCTGTGGACAGGATGCCTACTTATACCTTCCACCAAGTCCCTTTTGCACACTCCAGTCCGCCAGACCAGTATGTTAGTGCCACTGCTGAGGCAACTTAAAGGAATCCTGGCATGACATGCAACATCTGAAAGAGGTATGAGCTTGGGATAGGTAAGGGAGGATTTGGGGCTGAAATGTTTCCATTGAAATGCACCCACCTCACTTTAGGAGATTTTTCAGGTGTTACAGGGTAGATACTTGCCCTGACTGTCTATAGGAATAACTTGCACAAAGGCTTTCTGCCTTGATGTCTGTGGAACTGTAGCAAGTACACGACCTAGTTCTAAGGGTGCAATAGAAGGTGAAAGGTACAGGTTAAGAGAAATTCCTGTAAGACTCAGAAAACCTACTAAAATTATTACATCCTTTAGTTTCTCTGAGGCAGAATACTGTGTATTCAGCCTTTGAGGAAGCACCCAGCATACACTGCGGCATATATAAGGCACTTCATTACTGGAGTGCACTGGCTCAAGTTTAAAAAAATGTTTTCCAGATTTTGACTTCCCATTACAATTTGAGATAGAAAGCAATTTAAAACTCTAAAAAAAATCTTGACAGCAAAACTAGTTCCTGTCCAGACCCACTGCACTTCTTTTTCCACAGGTGGCAAAGAAATTACAACAACTGAAAGTATGCCAAACGTGGTTGTGTTGCACTGCCTTTTCACTGCCCAGGCTGCCCTTCCTCTGGGAGCAGACTCTTTTGTGCTGAGTCAGAAGGTGCTGGCACTAACCCTTCAGTCATGCTGAAGGGATGATGCTTTAGGGCAGAAAGTACAGAGAGCGGCCTGTTCTGTGTACAAATTTCTGCCTACCTAGAGAATTGCAAGGTAGGCTACCCTCCCTCTTTGCTGGATGGAGCTCAAATCCTTCAGCTGTGAAATCTAATTTCTCCCTGGAAGAAAATAAATAGCTGTATAGAATTAGCTGTAAACATTTGTTCCGTATGATTTGAAGAGACATGAAGGATCCAGGGATCTTTGATTACTTTTCCACGCTTGAAATTTGTATCTTGTGTTCCCAGCAGTTGTGCTTGTACTGAGGATATTTGCATTTTCTTTGCTTTCTGTAACACAGTGACAAATATAAAAGGCTTGTTCCTCCGACAGATCTTTAAAGTCTTAGAAACCACCCTGCCTTTCAGAAAGAAGGCTGTTGTGAGACAGTTTATCAGAACTGCACTCAGCAAGGAATGAGCAAAAAGGTTTTGGGCATCCTGGAGGCAAAAGGCACTTTGTCTTGCATTAGCTGCTTTTTCTGTTCCTTCTCTGGAAAAGTGGATTGGATGTGGTGGCCAGTGAGAGGCATTTTCTAATGATAGGCTGTGAAGCAGCACACAAGCTTCAGGGTACTCTGGCTCCTTCCCTCTTCACAAGAGTGAACAGCTGGAAGGTTAGAGAGAAAGGGGCAGCAGATGTGACAGGACAAGCTTGGAGGAGAACCTGACTAAGCTACGGTGGCTGGGGAAACAGCCATGTTGTAAGCATGGCTCCTGGCTCAGAAATGTTGGCAAGGTGGAGCTCCTGACTCCCAGCCACGTAGAAACATGTCCTTACCCTGGATGAAGGAAGAAAACTTGTTGGGAAGCGCTTGCCGCTGCAGCTTGGCTCCATATCCTCAACAACATGATCCAGCAGGGGTAGCCTGGGGATGGTGGGGGTGGATGTAGAGGGACCAGGACAGGATGATGGGGTATGGGGTTGGCCAGGAGAGAGGAGGGATAGTGGCAGGGCTGGTGGGAAGAGCAGGAGAGCAGGACACAGGGTAGGGTTGGGGAGATGGGACAGAAGAACACCTGTAGGAGTAGCTGCCTGCAGCAGGCATGGGCAAAGGCAGGGCCTTGTGCAGCCCTAAGCAGAGGCAGGAGCTGGGGAAAGTAGCATGGTCCTGGGCAGCAGATGAGGCAGTTGGCAGAGACCTGGGTGGCTAGTGGGGTCTGAGAGAATAGGGTCTGAGGCATCTGGTATGTTGGTGGGAGTGTGAGCAGAGTCATGGCAGGGAGTCAAGCAGGTGAGAGTGCCCAGCAGCTGGTTGGGGACAGCAGGCAGGGGTCTTGTCAGCTGGTGGAGGTGGTAGAGTGGTAGGGCAGCAGGCATGGCCCTGGGAAGCTGGTGGAGTGGGTGGTTAGATGGCAAAGCAGGGGCAGTGGGCAGAGGCAGCGTTGTATGGCCATGTATTATGGTGTGAGAGGGTTGGTGGGGAAAGTAGCTGCGCAACTAGCAGGGCAGAACATGGGGTCGAGGTAGGCAGGAGAGCTGTCAGGCAACATCCCAGGGTAGTGGGCACATGTCCAGCAGGGTAAACTGTTCCAAAGCTAGATTGCCCCCATTCTGCTGCATGGATCATCTTTGAGACATTCCATCATCCCCCTCCACTCCTGCCCCAGGGGCATGTCTGTTGGTGTGAGGACACCTCACCACAGCAGGCTTTGTTGACATTCACTGTACAAAAGATAGCCAAACACTTACTTCATTTCATGTATACTGAACTTTCCATGGTGTTCTCTCCTGCAGCTTCATAGGGAACCCTTTCCTTCATTTCAGGTAAACTATTTCAGCTCAGTAAGCTGCTCATTTGTAGCTCTGAAATAATCCAGGATTTCAAATAAATTTTTCCCTCTTCCAAATAAAGTAGATGTAGAGGGTGAGAATAACCAGTGCATAACCAACCTCATTGCCTCCTGAGATGGAGCAACTTGCTTAGTCAGTGCAGGGAGAGCTGTGGGCATCAAACTTTGATATTTCACAAGGTGTTTTACACAGCCTACCCTGACAGCCTTGTGGACAAACTGGTAAGATATGAACCAGGCAGGTGAGACACAAATTTGGTAGGAAACTGGCTAAATAGAGCCAAAAGGGCAATGGTTAATGGCTTAAAGCTGAACTGAGCAAATGAGTCACACACAGAGTTCACAGGGATCAATGCAGGGTCTGGTATTACACATGTTGTATGTACAGATGTGACAGTCACATCTCATCACTCGCTCTCATGGGTGGTGAGACTGAATGTGTCCTCTCTGAGCTTGTGGAACACACCAGACAAGGAGGAGAGGTAGGTACACAGGAAGGAAGAACCACCGCACAGAGACATCAGCAGACCTTAGGGCCATCAAGGACTGCAGACTGCTGCCTGTGTGCTGGAATAAGCCCAAGCAGCCCTACAGCCTGGGAGCTGGCTGGTGGTGACAGCTCTGTGGCCAGGGCTGTGGAGCTTCTGGTCAACGTTAGCAAGCATGAACCAGCAGTGGGTCCTGGCAGCAAGGAGAGCTTATAGCATGCTGGGCTGTATCAGCAAGAGTATAGCCAGCAGGTCAAAGTACGTGGTTTTGCTGCTCTATACAGTCATTGTTAGGCCACACCTGGCATACCATGCCCAGTTGTAGTTTCCACATTGTTAGAGAGACATTGAATACTTGGGAGAGGGCCATCAGGATGGTTAGTATGTTGGAGAACTGGACGTATACAGAAGGACTGAAGGAGTTGGGTTTGCTGAGCCTAAAGAACAGTCTTGAGGGGAACTAGTTACATGTGTCAAATATTATATATCAAATATTAAATATGAAATGTTAAAAGGTATTTTTGGAGAAGATGGAAGCACTCTTCACGAAGATGCACAATGAGGCATCTTGCACAGAGCAAGAGGCAACAGACGAGTGGCCTCAGAAAATTCTGTCTGGATACAAGGAAAAAAATACCACGAGAACAATTAAATATTGAAATAAGTTTCCCAGTGTCGTAGTGGAACCTCCTTTGCTGGAAATAGTCGAGACTCAGCTTGACATACTCAGGGCCGTCCTTTTGCACAAGAATTTGGGCTGGATGCTCTCTGGAGGTCCCTTTCAGCTTGGTGAGCACCCTGTTGTTTTTTGAGCTCTGTCTTTCTCAAGAGAGCCAGCAGATGGCACGGTACAACAGCAGTAAAAGCCCACAAGTGGCAGTAAGGTGTGCTTGATACTGGGATAGATACTAAAAAAACCCATGGTGATTTAGGG